TGGGATTTTGCAACACCAAATCACCCACCCCATCCTGTCTTCTTCCCCAACTTCCCCTATCTCCCACCTTCTCCTGGAGTTGAGAATTGAGAACTTCCTGAAACAACCGCATCGCCTCATCCTCCTTACCCTCAAAAGAAACACCCAACTGAGAACCCACATCCATCCCATTCTCCCTCACCCACTCCTCCTCCAAATCATTCAACTCTTCAGAAACAGAAGGACCTCTCATCCAATCCTCCTCCGGACGAACAACAGCCAAAGGAACAGCCAAGTTCACTGCTTGCTCGATGTTTTCCCATTGAACTAAACCCAAATCCCCATCAGGTATAGAACCAGCATCACCCTCCCAATCATCAAGGATAGAAGAAGAAAGGGAGCAATCAGACAGTAGTGAGTCAGGATCCTCCTCAAACTGGACAGATTTCGAGGTCGAAAGGTCCCGAATCTCCTTCAACAAAACAGTGGCAGAAGCATCATTGATCATCACCCTTACATCCCATCCCACGCAGACCGTAATACCTTCACCAAAATTCTCTGAAAGACGAACGAGACCAAGCCCATTCACAGACCCGTCGTCATGACCTTCAACTGACTCTAACACCGAGTCACTTTTGCCAACCGGAGCCAAAGAATTGGAAACAGTGCTCACCCCACCCTTCTCCAACCCCGACGATCTGCTCGATCCCCCAACAGAAGGAGAAGGAGAAGAAGAGAAAGTATGGAGAGAAGAGGACCCAGAAAAAACTATGGACTTACCCGGATCAGAACCCGATTGCGAAGCCATCACCCATTTCTGCTTGGCCTTTCGAGTCCACCTCTTATGAAGCACAGGAAAGATGACTTTCTTCTTAGATAGGCGATGACGTCGCGCAGGCTTTCCTCGCCTATCCTCTTTGACTCGCACTGAGAGAACCTGATGGCTGAGAGCATCTTCCGTCCACTGAGGAAGACAAAGATAAGGGCCTAAACTTGTTGCTCAACCCAACTCCAGAGCAAGAAGGGACTGATTCCAGCCCACACTTCAACCCAGATTGAGCAGAAGCATCTTTAAATGGATGAGAAATCGAACCTCCAACCAGCCCACAAACCTTAGGCCCCTCACTCGGCCCACCTAAAGATGTAGAATCATCTTTAAACCCTCTAACATCCAAAGCCCCACTCCTTGGCCCAAGAACAGGCCCATCATCCCCAGAAGGCTTTGAACCCTTTCGAGCCCAAGCGAATGGAGCTGAATTTGGAGCAGAATTTGAAAATAACGTGGGTACAGCTGTAGAACTCTTGTAACGGGCATGGCCTGGATGCCAACCACGTGTATGGATAAGGTTCCTCCCCCTCCAACGCGCTTGCTGCACGTGAACATCACCACGATGCCTTCTTTGATCCCAACTCTGCAAAAAAGACTGACGGCCATTCCCGGTGAGACCTCCACCCCCCTGATTCGGCCGGAACCCATCTTGCCGGCGACGATCCGTCATGAAAGAATGACCATCCCGCCGTTTCTGAGCATACAATCTTCTAAAGCACTCCGTATTCCGGATCCACAGCGCATCCCTCCATTCTTTCCACTTTCTAAACTCTGCCATCCCCTTCACCCCCGACGATTCCCACCGCAACCATTCCTTTTACTTTAACAGATGAGAACCATCACCCCCTTCAAAAACACTACTTCAAAACACTGACTTTGACCTTCATCTCTTTCTCTCTAAAGTTCAATGAGTTTGCCTAAAACTGTCAATCATTTATCTTCAGAAATTATCTGGTGCTCATTTCTCTTCCTATGTTACATGCCTTCTTACAATATCTTTTTAGGCAAATAGCTCAAGTATTTTAGAATAAGCTGACGATTTTCATATAATGTAGGACCATTAACAATAAATGATTCCTGAAATATTTTCATCTATGTTCTAAATCTAATATTGTAATGTTCTATCGTGGTTAGCTCTATATAAATTAATTTTTATGATACTAAATTTTTTATTTGTGTGCGTGTTAATGTGGTCCAAATTTTTTTTTTTTTCAGAGTTAGGTTTTCAATATTTGTCTTATTTCTTCTATATATTTTCGTTTGTTGTAGTAAGATCATTCATAGTGAATTTTTTTAGAATTCTTAATCTGCACATATTATTAGGTATTATCTTTCTCATTACGTAAAATATTGCGATTCTCGATCCAATCCTACAATTCAAATTTAAGGACCCCAATTTTAGTAACCTTGATGTCCATATAACAAACATGATCACCTGCAACAAATTTTGTTGTAGTGATCTCATTTGTTGCTGACCGTAACAGATTCTTTGGCTGGTCAACTTCTTCGCTTTTGATTGTCAGAGAGCAAGTCTCCTTGGATTTTTCTTTTCTTCTCGGGCTTTCTATGATGTACATCCACTTTGGTATACATATTTTATTTACTGATGGAAAAATAAAAGCTGATCACTGTTAACTTCAACACCCTTCTGCAGACTTAGAAATATAAAAAGAATATTTAAAGCTAGGTCGTATATCTTCAATAAAGCTAGGATTGGGTAAAACACTCTTCAGCGCCCTTCCAAGTTTTGGGATGTCAGCAGGCAAGTCTTACACTAAAGAAAATATACGATGAAATTTAATCTCTTCCTTCCCAGCAATTTGTGCAAAAAATCGTATTCAGAACCTCAGTTTGACCTTAGAGCAGTCTCTGGTCTTCCAAGATTGCACCCAATCACATATCTTGGCGTTGGAGGGCAATCTCAACCTCTCGTCTTAACTCCCATCTAATCAGCCTGCAGAAAGTAGAAACCCCCACTGATACATTAAATTTAATACTGACAGATACTAAAAGGACGACCAGAGTCAACAGGGTATTTCTTTCAAAGGAGGACGTCGAATGGGTCATTTAAGATATCTTCCACATATGCCACCACTTAAACTTTGACAAAGCGCAAATGGAAAAAGGTTGGTGGTTTTATTGTAACTACGTTCAGTATTCCCACAGGTCAGTGCATGCTAGGTGTTACAAGTGAGACTTGTCCCACATCGGATCCGGATGGGAATTGTAATGGGTAATGGGTATATATGGCTTGGGTGTTAGCTCTACCCAACAGCTTAAACTTTTGAATTGAACCACAAAGCACTCGACCTGTTACAGTTGGTATCGGGGCTAGACCCAATCCTTGATCCGGTGCTATGCCAAGCGCCAGGCCCGGAAGAGTCCGGGTGTGCCTCCCTGAGTAGGCAGGGTGGTCCAACCGCAACGAGGGCGTTGCGAGTTCGGGTGAGAATGAATGTTACAAATGAGACTTATCCCACATCGGATCCAGATGGAAATTGTAATGGTATTGGGTGTTAACTCTACCCAACAGCCTGTGTTACCTGGACTCGTCACTGAAGGCCAGAGTGCCCGTGTCGACACGACACAACATGGACACAGACGCGGGATATGCATCCAACCCTCCATTCTTCAATCGGACATGGCTGACCAAGAAAATACATAAAATGATGTGTGGTTTGATGCTTGTGAAGGATCAGGAATTTTTTTCGTGTTTTTTTGTTAAATCTATAGCCATAAGAAGCTTTCTATTTCAACAATGGCGTTCTAGTTCGGATCGGTGATCTGAAGGTTGAAGATGACTTGTTGTTTGTGAACCAGCACAAGCTAGCTTTTGTGCAATTTTTTGTGCCATCTTGAGCGTGGTTTCACGCAATTGTTAATAACTTAACACCTGTTTATTTGGATCTGAAAAGATAAAGGATGGGACACAGCTGTAAAGCATTACTGTGGTGGGTTACAGCTGTAACTTTGCTTTTTACAGTACTCTTATAAATACCGTGTGCATTGAATGGGCTTCCTTTTTAATTGTGCTTTGGACTTGTGCAGGCCCAAAACCCAAGCATCAATCCATGACTAAAATGCACATACAAAGACATATTAGCCCATATTGAATTAGTCATCCTTTTTAATTGTGTTTTGACTTGTACAGGCCCAAATGCCAAGATGCACATACAGAGGCATATTAGCCCAAGCCTAAACCCGCCCTTGGGTATACAAAAGAAGCCCTACAGCTCAGAATTTCTTATTTACAGGGTCCATAAAACAGCAGTAACAGGGGAATGCATAGCCATGACATGCCACCAATCAAATGAGGCAAACAAATGCAGTAATAATTATAAAAATTTTATTAAAAAGTACAATTGATATATACATTTTTTAGTTTTATGATTAATGTCTCAAACATAAAAAAAAAAAAACTTACAAATTTTTCTCTCTTTTCAAAGTGTCCAAGTACCCGTGTCCAATATTTGGACACTTTTAATCCGTGTCCCTGTATCCTGAAAACTGATAGATTGACGAATCCGACCCCTAGACACGCACCCGTGTCCGACACCCGTATCCGAGTCCGGGTAACATAACCAACAGCTTAAGCTTTTGGGTTGAACCGCAAAGCACCCCACCCGTTATACTAGGCTCCTTCAACTCCCCTTCCAATTATGTATACATCCTCCTACTAGAGGAGCTTACCGTATGCAACTCGCACCCTCCTTCTACCAACATAGATTCCTAATCTAGTCCTAATAAAAGAATTAATAAATTAATAAATCATTCGGCGTTAATAACTCTGTCAATGGTATCTACTGTGATGCTCCTAACCCTAATCAATCACTCCATCAACAGTATCTAATGTGATTCTCCTAACCCTAGTTTCAAAAGGTCTGGAATAACTAAAATTTTATAAAACCCACTGAAAGAAACCTAAATCAATGTGTCCTTATGGATAATCATTCAATGCCATTGCATGACATTGTTAGAGATCTGCACTTCATTCAAAAAGGCAATTGACAACCATGAGGAGTGAATTGCACTAACAAATACATGTAAAAATCAAGAAATGACAATCCATTTATAGATATTAGATAAACAATTCAAGGAAGAAATTTGCTCATACCAAATTTAAACAATAAACATACAAAATCAAGATAACCAAAGAAAGGAAAATTGAAACTAAAGCAGCCAAAAAAAGAACCTTTCAGATGCGCTGCAGGCCGAACAAGTTAACCGGACGAGCAATCACCGGAAACCCGAAACTGATCTCTACGATTCCAAAACCCTGACTTACCACAACCCATAAGCATTCACTGTGACATCAAAGAAACCACAAAATTCCAGTTACTAACACTTCCTACTACCATAAAATAATAATGAATAAATTCCAACAAGCGATAAAAACCCAAATGAGATCTAATCAAAGACATGCAAAAGAACCCTATTGGATTTCTCAGAAAGAAAATTAAAGAAAATTTGTTCAATTGAAAATTCAATGAGAGAACCTGCAATGGAGTGTCTTCTGAGACGAAACGCCGAGCTTTACAGGTTGAGTGAATCTTAGGCGCCGAAGAATGGGGATCGAAAGACGAAAGAGTCGGAGAATTTTAGAGGAAATAGGGTTAGAAGGAGAGAGTCTAGGTCACATAGAAGATTAGGAATTTAGATATATAGGAGGGAGCTCTCTGATTTGTGCTCTGGCTCTGTAGTCGGTTTTGTTGAAGAGGGATGGAAGAGAGAGAGAGAGGAGAGAGAGGGCAAAGAGAGAGAAGGTGTTCGAAGAAGGCGTTTTAAATCTTTACGCCCACTTCTCTGTAAGATGCCTTCGGAAGAAAAATTAAATTAAAATAAAATAAATAGATAATGTTGGAATGGTACACCACGCGCTGGTGAATGCGTGGCAAGTGGGAATACTTGCACAGCCAAATGGAGGCATATAAAGTTTGCTGATGAGAGGGTATATGCTTGGGCTCTAGTCAGTGCAAGTTGGTTTAATCTTAGGAGTACTTAAGTTCTAATCTTATTTTATCACTAATTGGCGTTGGTATTAATTTTTTTATGAAATTTTACTGTAGACTATTTCCTTTGACACTTTTTTTTTATTAAATTAATAATAAAAGTGTGACAAAATCACTAATTATAGTGTCTACAAACAATTAAATTAGATAAAATAGACTTAAATAATATGATCACATTCATAGTAAACCTAATGATGCACCGATGAGAAGAAAAATAATTGTTTTCCTATAAGGTAAGATATAAAGAGACGATAAAATTTACGTAAAAGGAAAATAATTCAAATTAATGTTAAAAAATTAAATATAAAAGGAGACATGGTCTACAACATGTTATATTGAAAAAAGATAAGTCACATGCCCCATTCAGAATAAAGGCAAGAATAATTACAACGAAGAAATTAATATTCTTTTTTTATCACTTAATACCTTTTCCCGTTTTGTCCAACATGTATCATAAATCTTTTCATCGTTTTGTATTACTTTGATTAAAAATAATAATAATCTATTTGGAGTTGGTCCTAAATGACTTTAGTTATAGGAGCATTTAATTTTAAAAATATTATTAAATTAATTTTAACCATTCAAAAATTAAGCACACTATTATATTTCTCCATGTTTTTCCTTTTATTACTAAGACTTCCTATATTTAATAACATTGAGACTCGCGAGAATCCAAAAATAAATAAATTATTGCTTAATTAATTAAGTAATGATAAGAAGTTTAATAGTGGGACAAATTTGACCAACTTTGTATAAGTAATCGTAAAATTATAATATTAATGAAATCATAATGATCGCAGTACTATTCAAATAAATTATATATATATATATATACACACATACTTATATAAAGTTTAAAAATGCACCATGTTAAGTTCACTCTGATAAATATAGCACGACTAGTAAAATTACATGCAATGAAAGTGAACCTTATATGATTGTAACTAAGAAAATCAGGATTGACCAAAAATAAAGTAGAATAATTTAGTTTCTTTTCATCATAATTCCCTTTAATTTTTTAAACCAACAAGCTAAAATCGTGAATAACAATTTTTATATATATCACATTATAAAAACCTTCAAACTACCACAACTAAAAGAAATTGTAATGGTTGAGAGAGTTTAATAAGGTAACTAAATCTGTCGTCCCTAAGTTTTGAAAATTAAAATTGGAAACCGTTTTTAAATTCCATATTAAATACTCTATTTAGAATTCATATTATGATTTAAAAAAATAATAATAAATATTTGAAAATACTAAAAAAGTCTTGCACTTTTATAAGAGTAATGATAGGCAACGCAAAAGTGAAAAAGCGCAAACTTCCTGAATCTGATTTGGCAAACTCTTAAATGGTATAAATGAATAGCAAAAAAGGAAAGAAAAAAAGAACAAAAAAACATGGTGCTTTCTCCTTCTCCTCACAAACATAAAATTAAAAACTCTCCAAAATTGGATATATACAACACTTCTTCTCAAATGTCACCTTTTGTAAAATCTGGACACTTACTTTTTCTCTAAAGGCAAATACATTTTGTAAAACTTTAATAAGATGAATAAATTATAGATTAAAAATTCTTTAATATAAATTTTAAAGCAATAAATATTTGGTTTATACAGAGTATAGATAATATTGTATTCGTATAATTCTATGAATTTTTACTTTGTAAATTTAAATTTATGGAACACAGGAACAAGTAATTTATTGCTTGTGATTATTTTCTTTTGCTCTCTCTATCTAATTTTGGAGAATTTAGTTTTGTATTTGTGAGAGAAAAGAGAAAGCAGCATGTTTTTTTTTTTTTTTTTTTTTGTTTATACCGTGTAAGAGAGGACTCTTTCTTTTTTGGTTCTGACGTGGCGTAGCCAAATCAAATTCAGCGAGTTTTCGCCTCTTTTGTTTTTTCAAGTTAGTTATCACTTATCATTACTCCTTTTATAATATTATAGATATGGACATGGATATAAATTTTAGTCAAACTAAATCCATTTTAGTCAAGCCATAGGAACAATGAGGTCGGGTTAAAGTAAATACCGGGGGAGGAAAGGCACTAAACTTGACATATTGTAGAAAAACAAAAGTAAGTGGAGCACATAGGCCTATTTTGGGGTGCAAATAAAAATTTCCTGCTTCAAATATTAGTTTTAATTTTCACAAGAATAAAGTTCTTTTACAATATCCCTCAAAAATATATTAACGAGAGAATAATAGCTAGGGAACTAGGGAATGCAGCTTTACTGGCATTTTCAAGTTTGTGAAGCAGATAGAAATTAATTAAAATACATTACACAAGGCATAAGGGTGCAAATGAACCAAGTTGGTTCATGAAGAGTTGCTCGACTAAAACTTAGCACAGGCTTGTTCTTTGAGAAAACAAGCGGAGTTGGAGCTCATTTTTTAGTTAATAAGCCAACAACCGTATTTGACTAAAATTGTTTAGACTTGTGACATAAGCTTGTGTAAGCTCGTATCTTCATATACACGGACTTGTATTCTCATGACACGAATATAAACATAGAACTGTTTAGATTCATAAATGTAAGCATGTGAGTATGCTCGTGAATATAAGTTTGTATAGACTCGTATAAGTTTGCGAGTGAGACAAAAATGATTTTGAACATGAGTTTAAATTAAGCCTAATCGGCTTTTGTTATTAAACAAGTTGTGTAACAACCTACTCCACTACATGATTTTGTTCTTGGTTTTTACTCTAAAATAGCTCATACCATTCTTCAACAAATACATGTAAGCACTTCATATTTACTTTACACAAGGTCATCACAATCACTCCCCTTTTCTATTACGCGGTATGATATTGTCCGCTTTGGGTCTGAACCCGCACATTTTTATTATTGAGTTTTATCCAGAAGACCTCATACCATTTGGAGATCGAACCAGCACATATTAATATTTCATCTTTACCTTACCTAAACGATGTGAAATTATGTAACTTGTAATCTGTCGGTGCCTATTTGTACCAATCCACGTAGGTAGTCACAAGTCGAGTTTAACCTTTTCAAAAAAATAACCAGTCAAGTTTGAACTCAAACACATGTTTACAGCATTACCCGGAAAAACCAAAAATATATATATATAAAAATAAAAAAAATAAAAATAAAAACATTTTATGGCATTTTGTTCTGCAACCATAGTCCACGCGCTTTTAGTTGCGGGTAATTAAACGTATCGTTATTCCCAACAAAAAGAAACAAATTTGCTTGTCATGGGAAAAGCTACCCCACATAAAAGTCGAGTATGGTCTTAAGTTGCTTAAAGCCTGAAATGGAAAATCGATTAAAAATATCTCATTATGGTATGGCTGTGATATGATGTTTCTACGCCTTCAAACCACTGAAGAAAATTCTTCAGCAACATGTGCAAATATATATACATATATATATTTTACATGTACTGGAGAAGGAAAAGATTTGTCTCACCCAAGATTTCACTATAGTATAATTTGGACGAGGAAGTTTGTGATTGTACCATTCATTTCTTACTTTTTATAACAATTGAAATATCACGTGGTAAAAAAAAAAAAAATCATTTAAATGTTTTACTATCTTTTCCAAATAAAATAATTATACAAATCTAGTTAAGGGTTGAAACCGTAAATTCATTTTTACCTTTCATCTCACAACCATATTATCTAGTAAATTGGACCACATCGAATCAAATTATATAATTTGGCCTTATTTTACTATACTATTTCAATTCTAAAAATTAAAGTACCTTTATATATATATATATATATATATATATATATATACATTTGTTCAATTTTGATTGATATAACTCAATGTATATCACAATTCATAAGATTATAATTGGCACAGATGCAGAAAGTAAATCCTTAAGGTTTCACTTTCGAATGGCACTCTTGACTTGAATGGTGCATGTGTTATGGGACCGATACACGTACTCTGGGAAAGTACAAAAAATTCTCAACCGCTCACATAAAATTAGGCTTACATTAATTATCACATCAACAATAAATACCAAGTCCACTAACATAAGTGTAACAAGGGTCATTTGTCTCGGTTGGTATCAAAGTCAGGTTCAGTCTTTGATTCGGTGTCACGCCAAGTGCCTAGCCCAAAAGGCTTCCAGGTGAGCCATCCTGGGTAGGCAGGATGGCCCGACTACAACGAGGGCGTTGTGAGTTTAGATAGGGGGAGAATTTTATAAGGGGTCATTTGTTCCACATCGGATCTAGATAGGAAAGTGTTGGGTATAAATAGATGGATATGCAGCACTATCTAACAACTTAAATTTTTAGGTAAATGGCAAGCATCCACCCGTTACAGTTGGTATCAGAGTCAGATTCAGTCATTGATTCGGTGTCACGTCAAGCGCTTGGCCCGAAAGGCGTCGGTGTGAGCCACCCCGGGTAGACAGGGTGGCCCGAACCGCAACGGGGGCGTTACGAATTTAGGTGGGGGAGAATGTAACAAGGATCATATATCACATCGGATCTGGATGGAAAAGTGGTTAGGTATAAATGGGTGGGTATTCAGTTTTACCCAGCAGCTTAAACTTTTTTATAAATGGGTAATCGTTCACCCCTTCCAATAAAGCATTGCAAATTAATCACAACATTATTCAAATATATAAGCATGATTAAATTACATCATGCTTATACGACTCAGTAAGCAATTAAATACATTTTCAAACCACTGTTTAATATCTGGAATTACACATTTATGCAATTTAAAAAAATTACTTCTTTATTATACACATACATTATTTAATTTATTTATTTATTTAAGAACATTCTCAAAGTCGCTTACTT